AAAAAAAAAAAAATGCGTACATAATCGAAAATCATTATAATTATCCCCAGGATTATTAAGTCCAATTTATAAGACGGATAGCTACAAAGTAAAAATTTAGCTCAACCTATACAATACAAACACCTACATATTATTACTATTTTATTTATCGGTGCTGTGGGCTTCTCTGTACCAGACACCAGTTACTGTGCACAATAACTTGTTTACTATATTAGMAGAGGTGCATATGGTATCCAAATACGACTATAGGATAGAGTTCGTCGACATACCTCACCTTKAGGAGTGCTAAACCTCACACACACACGCGCATTATCTTTAATACCATTTTAATTTTAGTTTTAGTTATCGGGGATTTATTTTACCGTTGACATGTCAATTGTTAGAAATGAATCCGTTGAATTTGTCAATAATTCAGAACATCGTTCAAACATCCAGGTTCGTTGTACATATAAGAATGATGTTTCAACATGTCTACGTAGTTATTTTATGCTTAAAATACCAGTGTGTCCCTTTTTAATAGATTAGGAGGTAGGTAGGTAGTTAGATAATTATTTTTAGATTGGATTCAAACAAATAGTTATCTATTGTTACTACTCCAAATTAAAAGGTAAACAATACAAAAAACTATAACACAAAACTAAAATGTCCATGTACGGCCATCACACACTACACATTTGTAACGGAGTTGTCTCCTACGAGGACTTTCTCTACATTCACCATGATGGCAGGGTTAAATAACAATGATTAAATGATAATTTTGTGGTCACATAGCATTTGTGTCATTGCCCTGGTCTATAATAACAACGGGTTAGGCGAAATGATGAAAAGTAAAAATGTTCTTCTTGATAAACTTATATGCTATATAAAATTATTATTATTATTTTATCCGTCCGTAGATACTTGGGATTTTCATCAACTATTCATTTTATCATTTTATATGTTTTATGATAACATTTTCAAAAAATATTGACTTTTTAAGTTATTCGTAGAAATTTTTAATTTTTAATTTTTTTTTTTGTTTTGTTTTATAAATGCTAATAACAATTTTTATCTAATAAAAAATTTGAWTACTATATATAAAATTAAACGTATCGTAAGTAGTTGTTACTGTAATAAAAAAAAAATAAAAAATAATTTATAAACATTTTATTTTTTAATAGTTAGATATATAAATATATTAAGTTCGAATTCGGACGAAATTAGATATTAATTTTAAACAGAGAATGATTTTTGAAATTTTAATATAAAATGGACTGTCTGTTCTGAACCGTTTTTCATATACAAATATTTTATATCATTTGATTCAAATTTAATACATCTATTATAGTGACTAACACAATACTTACAGTACAGAAAATTGTTGTTACCCACTTTCTGACCTTTTTTATTGTAATTAAAAATAAAGTTTATTTGCAAGTCACATAACATTTATTTTTATTATACATTAGTAATTGGAGTTGGTATTTTTAAATCACAGGATATTTAAATGTATGACAATAATTTTATTGTTATTTAAAAATTAGTTATTGAAAAATATAAATTTTACTGTAAGAATTTTATACTAAATTTTTACACAGTAATATATAATATTATTAAACCTTAACATTATATCTGAGTATTTTTGTAAACTTGGTTCAATACTGCTCGCTTAATTAACAATATTGTATATAATTTACGATGACATTTAAATTAGTTAGTAATAATAAATATAAGTATTTTAGTTTTGCCAAAAACTGTCTTTGATTTCATTTAATTGTTATGAGTTATGATTTTCCGGATATTTTCATTCTTTTTTTTAGTATATCCAAAATCAATCCCCGGTAACTGTTAAATAATGCAATGAAAAAAAAAAATGGATAGATATTATGAAAATACTAATAATGTCGGCGGCTACAGACAACGATGCGGAACCGGTCTTCCCACTGTACGGTACGAGTCAGCGGCGTCTGAGGCGTCGTTTCAGTTCAGTTCGGGCCGGTCGTCAGCGCACGTCACATACACTATTGCAATAACCTAACGGTTGTCATACWCGRAAAACACAATCGCTACAAGTCAATGTCATTCGAATAGTGCTGGGTTTCTTGGTGTCACGAAACTAATTTTATTAAAATATACTATCTCGAATGCCGCACAACGTTCGGTGATCGTTCGTTCCTAATCATAGACGACCATGAACCTGGTAACGTCGTCTCCCACGTCACTGCTGCTTCAGTTTTTGCTGTTGTTTGCAACGAGAGGAGCCCTATGTTGGCCTTGGCCATCGTTGGGTGATGGCCCATCCAGAGCSGTTGGCAGAGGTACGTAATATAATAAGTACAACATGCAGGGATGATGAATTATTATTTTTGAAATTCAGGTGGGGAGGGGTAAAAATAGTATACGGAAATAGGGGAAAGTAGTATATTATGCGCATATCCGATCTGAGTGCACACTTTTTTTATAATGAATGGCATCCTTGAAAATCATCAGAATTCGTACGTTTCAATAAATTCATATGGCAATACATATGGTTTACAGTTTTGTTTTTTGTAAACGGTTGAATATTATTAGAGAAATATTTACTGTGTAATTACATGCTTATAACATTATTATTACACGGTAAAATGTCCAGAGTTTAAAACTAAATATTGTGAAAAACGAAAATGTAGGAATTGTAATATGAAATCTTTTGAAATCACACTCACGTAAACTAAACTTGTATAATTATAATCTTGTAACTCTGTGGATACATAATATAGTATGATATATATTATCTCTTATAGTTAAAAGCATTATGGTCTACGTATATGTAAATTGTTTTCAATTCACTGGCTCATTAATATTTTAATTTGATGTTTTTTTTTCAATTCTCATAAAAGCGAATATTGAATGGCTTTTATAAGCAATGACTAAAATKTATAGTGCTTAAAGCAAGTAGTACAGTGATATAAATAGTTATTATTACAAAAACGATAATATAGGATATGAGACTCAATAAGTCACCTATTAATACTAACTCGTGAT